GATGGAGCGGGATGTCCCTTCTAAATCCAAAAAAAAAAAACCCCGAAAATTGAACGGTACCTTTGTGTGGTGGCGGGTAAATCCCTAAAAATACTGAAAATACTTATATATGGGGCTATGTGAAAACATGGACCTATGTTTATAATTTTCTGTATACTCGTATATGTATGTCAGCCTTTAAGAACCCTTTATACCAAATTACAGTAGAAATGTGCTTGAAAATGGATCGGTAGAGAGGCTATAATAAAACGTAAACAATTTTGCTACATGGACCAAAATTGATATTTTTTGGCAATCTCTCTAACAATTAAAATCCAAAACCTCAAATAAGAGCCAGAGGACATGCTATAGTGTCTCAATCAGATTGTGTAAGAGATATTGATATGAATTTTTTACACACCATGAGGTCTATTAAAGCGACAATAACCTGTACAACAGTGTTGTGAAGGGTATAATTAATCATTTACAATAGCACCGCGAAAGCATGTTCATCCGACTAGATTCGCTCCACGACTGAATAAGCTAGAAAAGTTTTTTGACTCTGCTAGGAAAATCGGTAAGGAGACGAAAAATGTTTAAACAGCTATTTTATCAGTGATGTTCGGTTGGAAAATGCTACTCAAAATACTGAAATTTGGGCTATATATTTAGTGATATTTTCCTGCGCAGATATGTGCCAGTCTCCAAACTTCTGTAATGCCAAATTAAAGTTTTTTGGGTTGGAAACTGCGGCAAAAATCATCATGGAGGCTAGGTCAAAACTTGGATTTATATTGATCTTTTTTTTCACAGATATATGCCAGATTCTAAAACCAATTAAAGCCTTTTTGTTTTGAAAATCCCTCAAAATATGGAAAGTTGGGCGAACATAGACTTATAATGATAATTTTTTACGCAGATGTGTAACATTCCAAAATTCTGAAAAGCCTAATTTGAGGCATTTCGGTTGGAAAATGCGGCATAAATCGTCAAAACACCCAAAATTTAAGGGGGCATTTATATGGAGGCTATGTCAATAGGTAGATTATTTTCTGCAAGACTATAAAACCCCGAAATGCCATAATAAGCATTTTATTTGAGAAACCTAAAACCGTCCCAAAGGCTAAAATGGGACGGGGTTTTTAAATGGGGGCTAGGTAAAAATTCATTATCCGAAAAATTTGCATTGGAAAAAATTATTTAATAAATCCACGCCTAAGGTAGTCTCTGAAAAAAATTATTTAATAAATCCACGCCTAAGGTAGTCTCTGAAAAAAATTATTTAATAAATCCACGCCTAAGGTAGTCTCTGAAAAAAAATATTTAATAAATCCACGCCTAAGGTAGTGTCTGAAAAAAAATATATAATAAATCCACGCCTTCTGTAGGTCACGAAAAAAATTATTTAATAAATCCACGCCTAAGGTAGTCTCTGAAAAAAATTATTTAATAAATCCACGCCTAAGGTAGTCTCTGAAAAAAATTATTTAATAAATCCACGCCTAAGGTAGTCTCTGAAAAAAATTATTTAATAAATCCACGCCTAAGGTAGTCTCTGAAAAAAATTATTTAATAAATCCACGCCTAAGGTAGTCTCTGAAAAAAATATTTAATAAATCCACGCCTAAGGTAGTCTCTGAAAAAAATTATTTAATAAATCCACGCCTAAGGTAGTCTCTGAAAAAAATTATTTAATAAATCCACGCCTAAGGTAGTCTCTGAAAAAAATTATTTAATAAATCCACGCCTAAGGTAGTCTCTGAAAAAAATTATTTAATAAATCCACGCCTAAGGTAGTCTCTGAAAAAAATTATTTAATAAATCCACGCCTAAGGTAGTCTCTGAAAAAAATTATTTAATAAATCCACGCCTAAGGTAGTCTCTGAAAAAAATTATTTAATAAATCCACGCCTAAGGTAGTCTCTGAAAAAAATTATTTAATAAATCCACGCCTAAGGTAGTCTCTGAAAAAAATTATTTAATAAATCCACGCCTAAGGTAGTCTCTGAAAAAAATTATTTAATAAATCCACGCCTAAGGTAGTCTCTGAAAAAAATTATTTAATAAATCCACGCCTAAGGTAGTCTCTGAAAAAAATTATTTAATAAATCCACGCCTAAGGTAGTCTCTGAAAAAAATTATTTAATAAATCCACGCCTAAGGTAGTCTCTGAAAAAAATTATTTAATAAATCCACGCCTAAGGTAGTCTCTGAAAAAAATTATTTAATAAATCCACGCCTAAGGTAGTCTCTGAAAAAAATTATTTAATAAATCCACGCCTAAGGTAGTCTCTGAAAAAAATTATTTAATAAATCCACGCCTAAGGTAGTCTCTGAAAAAAATTATTTAATAAATCCACGCCTAAGGTAGTCTCTGAAAAAAATTATTTAATAAATCCACGCCTAAGGTAGTCTCTGAAAAAAATTATTTAATAAATCCACGCCTAAGGTAGTCTCTGAAAAAAATTATTTAATAAATCCACGCCTAAGGTAGTCTCTGAAAAAAATTATTTAATAAATCCACGCCTAAGGTAGTCTCTGAAAAAAATTATTTAATAAATCCACGCCTAAGGTAGTCTCTGAAAAAAATTATTTAATAAATCCACGCCTAAGGTAGTCTCTGAAAAAAATTATTTAATAAATCCACGCCTAAGGTAGTCTCTGAAAAAAAATTATTTAATAAATCCACGCCTAAGGTAGTCTCTGAAAAAAAATTATTTAATAAATCCACGCCTAAGGTAGTCTCTGAAAAAAAATATTTAATAAATCCACGCCTAAGGTAGTCTCTGAAAAAAAAATATTTAATAAATCCACGCCTAAGTTGGCCATTGAAAAAAAATTATTTAATAAATCCACGCCCTTTTTATGTCCTTAAAAAATTCTTTAATAAATCCACGACTAAGGTAGTCTCTGAAAAAAATTATTTTATAAATCCACGCCTAAGGAAGTCGCCGAAAGATTCTATGCTGAAAATTTCGCGACATGACATTGAAATTTAAAACTGAGTTCTTTGTTTTCCACCAATATATTTCTGTACTTTTTCTCGATCTATTTCCATTGCAGATGCGCTACAACTTTTGGGAAGGAGACCCTTGAATTGTCTATTTTATAATCATAATATACCATTCACATAGATCTTATTTTGTCTCATTTGGAGTCCGAACAAAGTTTTCAATTTTTCTCCAGGTTATATTACATATTCTCAATAATTGTACTCCTCCTAATGTACTACTTAAAACTATGTAACATTTTTTCATTTGCATTTATTTTTAACTTTTTTTTAAAAGTATTCAAATTACATTACATCAGCCAAGGTGTAACAACTTTTTTGTTGTTGTTCGCCAAACATTCTCCGACTGCAACAATTGTTGCCAAGAAGTCACACAGCATCAACGATGGTTGCCAATGCCATATTTCAGGATGTGCTGTAGGCGTCGCCTTTCTTTGACACTCAAAACCTTTTCAAGTTGTTCCAGTGTCAAGTTGATCTCGCGTAACGAATGCAAAGGTAACCAAAGTGTTGTAATGGCAAAGGTCCTTCAACACACAAACAACGGCAACATTAGAATTTAATGAGAAACGAAGAAGAAGAGAAAAAAACAAAACGGAATGGGGTCAATGTGATTTGCATGAATTCTTTGAGAGAATGAGAAAAAAACAGCGGAACTGATAATGCAACATTAAGTTGAGGTGCAGTTGTCCCACACCCTTACCTGTGCAATCTCATGGCATCAATGGCACTTGGCTGCATGGCCTCCAGTTGTTTGATTTCCTCACGGAATTGTCGATTGTAACGATGGAAGGATTGTTGGTAGCGTTTTCGGCATTTTATCTGGCTAAAGGGTAAATAATTTTTGCGGAAATTTAAGCCAGAAGTTACAAATTTCCAACACATTTCCACCAAGCCAGAAAAAAAACGGAAGAGCATAGAAATGAATGAACGAAAAGAAACACACACACAGACACACATTCAAAGACAGGAAATTCAATCAGTTCTAAATACATTTTAGCCTATCCTTTTGACTGGCTTCATTTCTTTTTTGTTGGCCAAAACCACAATTTCGTCAAAAGAAAAGGAATGAAAAGAAAATCTCTCACACACACACATTCATATACACACATTTCACTTACTAGCTTTCCTCTGTCACTTCAGCTTGTTGACGTGGTGAGCCGTAACCCAGTTTACGTGCTATCAATATACGATACCATTGCTTCTGTAGGGCATTCATGGGCCTTTTGAAAGGATTTGTCGTTAACTCCAATGTGTTCGACATCGTTTTTTTAAGACTTTCTTCTAAAAATAAAGATTTAAAATTGTATAGTATTTTGCCAGCAAAAGCGAGGTGTCTACAATGGAATACTTAATACAAATGCAATGAATTGGAGAGAATTTACTATTTTTAGTTTTGTTTATTTGATTACCATGGCAAAAAGTTGTTTAATTTCTTCAACAAATAATATTTGTGTATTCTTAATTGAAGTCAAATAGACAAGAACGAATGTAACTAACATAGGAGTAGTAGAATATTCGAGTAGGTCGATGACAAAATCTTTAATGGAATATAATATTGAAGAAGAAAATTTACCTGATGGCACACGAAAGAGGGTAATTAAACTAGGATTACTTCTAAGATGGTAAAATTCCACATATATGATAGTAATACCCTATCTTCCGGTGCGCCATTTCCACTGGTGAATATTTCAGGAGAATTTGACTGATAATAGGGCTTTGGTATAAGATCGGGTACAAATTGAAAATAGCAATTAATACCTACAAATATATATTTGTTGTCTTTGAGGACCATCCATTAATTCTATGGAGCCAGTTTTTTAGTATTTTGCTCAACAATTTCAGGTTTTACCAGAACCATGATTATATATCTACATCACAATAACGCTGTCTACCGAACCAAACTAATGAGCGACATCTTCTTTTTATAACATTTATCGATATAATTTTTATTGTGTGCGTCTCTGCTATCGATCACAACATTTTAAATGTAATTCGACACATGGCACCATCTAAAGGTAATTGTCTAAACTATGATACAACTTGACACTATTTTGATCTATCGGCCATATTCCTCCTACTAACTCACTATGAAACATGATTGGATGACTCCATTCCCGGCACAAGTCGGCTGTGTACACTTTATTTTCTTCGGTGTGCCTCAGTTTCCGATGAATATACCAGATAAATCCGGCTATTGTGCATAAAGTAAAAATATAATAAATGAAAAATTTATTTTGAAAAAAATAATCAACAAATTGTCAGAAGTTAAACGGAATTTGTAAATCACTTAGCAATTGGAATCCGAATCAGTGTAGAAATATTATGTTCTCGGATGAATTAAAGTTTTATATTTAAGGCTCAAATGAGAAGGCCTAAAAATTAAAGACTATGGTTTCAGTATTGCGATAAAATAGTGTCAATTTAAAAGTCCCGACCAATATTAGGAATTTTGAATGCACACCACGTGATGGAGAATATAAAAATTTAGATCTGGCCGCACATCCTTCAACCTATTTAGTTTTGTTCAGAATAAAATTCAATGTCGATATACACATTGTTGGTCTGTTGTACTCACGAGCTCTCACTAGTTATGATAGTATTTTTTCAATTTTCTAGATTAATTGCTAATATTACCAGAACTACAGGTCTATGATTTGGTGTAACGATTTGAATGAAATTTGGCACATGCCACTAGTTTAGGCCAAGGACGAACCTTATTGAAATTGGGAAAAATCGGTTCAGATTTAGATATAGCTTCCATATCTAGTTTCGTCTGATTTTATGTATATAGAGTACCATACTGCCAATATTGGTGATACAAAATTTTGCACAGAGTACTGAATTAGGCCCAAATTTATATATGTAGTGTTTCACTAGAATCGGTTCAGATTTAGATATTGCTCCCATATATAATTTCCTCCGATTTTATGTCAATGGTGCACCATACTGTCAATGTGTGTCCGATTGAGACAACATTTTGCATAGCGTATTGATGCTACTACAGGTTGACATCCGTATGAAATTACCGCAGATTAACGACCGCGAAATTTTGTGGAAATCGGTTCAGATTTAGATATAGCTCCTATATATATTTAAGTCCGATTTAGTCCTATTAAGACATCGTACGGAATTAGGTCTGGATTGATGTATGCGAAGTTCTGTTAGGATCGGTTCAGATTTAGATATATCTCCCATATAAACTTTATATGTAAATGGAGCACTGACATTCAATTCCTATGTCTCAGATTGGTATTTGTATGTGTTTTATACCCTTCACCACACTGTGGTACAGTGTATCATGTCTTTATGCATATGTTTGTAACAGGCAAATGGAATCGAGATAGACCCATGGTTCCCTTTGAGATATGCAAAGAATCACTTCCTGATTCGATTTATGCATGTCCGTTTGTTCGTCTGTCTGTCCGTTCATGTACTTTTGTGAACATAGTACAGGTCGCATTTAAAATCAGATTTGGATGAAATTTTGCACATATCACTTATTTCGCCCAAGGACGAACCCTAGTGAAATTGGAGAAAATCGGTTCAGATTTAGATATAGCTCCCATATATAGTTTCGTCCGATTTTATGTAAATGGTGTACCAAACTTCCAATATTGGTCCGATTGCTACAAAATTTTGCACAGAGTACTGAATTTGGTCCAGATTGATGTACGCGAAGTTTTGCCAATATTGGTCCGATTGAGACAAAATTTTGCACAGAGTACTGAATTTGGTCCAGATTGATGTACGCGAAGTTTTGCTGAGATCGGTTTAGATTTAAATATTGATCCCATATATACCAAACTCCCACGGATTGTCCGATTGAAAGAAAATTTTGTATAGCGTACTGAATTAGGTCTGGATTGACGTATACAAAGTTTTGTTGAAATCGAATCAGATTTAGATATAGCTCCCGTATATAGTTTCGTCCGATTTTTGTTAAATGGGGCACCAAACTCCCACGGATTGTCCGATTGAAAGAAAATTTTGTACAGCGTACCGGTTTGGGTCCAGTTTTATGTCTGTGAAGTTTTCTCGAAATCGGTTCAGATTTAGATATAGCTCCGATATATAGTTTCGTCCGATTTTATAAAATTTGGTGCACCACGCCCCATATATTTATTACATTGAAACGCAATTTTGCAATTTTATGTAAATAGTGCACCAAACTTGCAAGGATAGTCTGATTTAAAAAAAACCAGTAAGGAAAGTAGTAAAGTCGGACGGGGCCGACTTTATGATACCCTTCACCACTTTGAGTATATTCAACAGATGAATCCTAACAGACGTCGCATTTTTAACGGATCAGTAAAATGAATTTGGAACCATAAACACGTCATTCTGCAACCGATACTAAATTGTTCATTTGGTCAGATATAGAAGCTATATCTAAATCAGAACCGATTTCAGGAAACTTAGCACACATCTAGACCCAATTCATTACGCTGAGCCAAATTTAGTGCAAATCGAGAGGTATATAGGGACTTTTGTGCACACTTTACCTTAAATCGGACGAAAATATATATAAGATATATAACTAAATCTGAACCGATTTTCAGGAAACTTAACACACGTCATTCTAGAGATAATTCATTACGCTGTGCCAAATTTCGTGCAAATCGAAAGATATATAGGGACTTTGGTGCACAATTTACATTTAATCGGACGAAAATATATATGGGAGCTATATTTAAATCTGGACCGATATTCAGGAAACTTAACACACATCATTCTAGGCCTAATTTGTTACGCTGTGCCAAATTTCGTGCTTAAATCGCATATGCATATTCTCAAAAGTGTGTATGTTGTTTCCTTTTGCCTGTTACAAACATATGCATAAGACATAATAATTTGGTTCAAGAACCTCAAAATACGAAAATTGAGGGGTACCCTTATATATGGGATACCAGAAAAAATTGACCAATATTTATAATTTATAGTGGAGAGATTTGCTACCTAATAAGAACTCGACTAACTAAATTACAGTCAATTCGGTCAAAATTTACGATCAGAACCCCCAAAATACCAAAAATTTGGGGGTACCGTTATATGGGGACTACCAGAAAAACTGGACCTATTTTTATAATGTTTAGTGGAGTAATTTGGTACCCAATAAGAACCCAATGTACAAAATTTCAGAGAATTCCGTTATAAAACGTGCCCAAGAACCCGAAAATACCGAAAATTGGGGGTACCCTATATGGGGGCTCTCCGAAAAAATGGACCTTTATTTATAATTTTTGATAGGGAGATTTGCTACCCAATAAGAACTCAAAGTACCAAATTTCAGCGAATTCAATTAAAAAACGCGCTCAAGAACCTCAAAATACCGAAAATTTGGGGGTACCCTTTTATGGGAGCTATCCGAAAAAATGGACCTATATTTATAATTTTTGGTAGGGAGATTTGCTACCCAATAAGAACCCAAAGTACCAAATTTCAGCGAATTAAATTAAAAAACGCGCTCAAGAACCTCAAAATACCGAAAATTTGGGGGTACCCTTTTATGGGAGCTATGCCTATACGTCGACCGATTTTCTCCAATTTCAATAGGGTTCGTCCTTGGGCCAATTAAGTAATCTGTGCCAAATTTCATCCAAATCGGATCATAAATGCGACCTGTACTTTGTTCACAAAAATACATGGACGGACAGACGGACGGACGGACAGACAGACAGACGGACATGCGTAAATCGACTCAGAATGTGATTCTATGCATATTCTCAAAAGGAACCATGGGTCTATCTCGATTATTTTTGCCTGTTACAAACATATGCACAAAGACACCAGTAAGGAAAGTAGTAAAGTCGGACGGGGCCGACTATATGATACCCTTCACCACTTTGAGTATATTCAACAGATGAATCCTAACAGAAGTCGCATTTTTAAAGGACCAGTAAAATGAAATTGGAACCATAAACACGTCATTCTGCAACCGATACTAAATTGTTCATTTGGTCAGATATAGAAGCTATATCTAAATCTGAACCGATTTCAGGAAACTTAACACACATCATTCTAGACCTAATTTGTTACGCTGTGCCAAATTTAGTGCAAATCGAAAGATATATAGGGACTTTGGTGCACCATTTACATTAAATCTGACGAAAGTATATGTGGGAGCTATATATAAATCTGAACCGATTTTCAGGCAACTTTACAAACATCATTCTAGACCTAATTTGCTACGTTGTGCCAAATTTCGTGCTTAAATCGACTCAAAAAGTGATTCTATGCATATTCTCAAAAGGAGCCATGGGTCTATCTCGATTATTTT